CCTACTCACTTTGCTGTTGGTGACTTGGAAATAGTGAGAAAATATAATTTATGTTCTTCTCCTACCTGAACTTGTCCCTATAATGAGAGAGGAAGCTCAGTTTTTCAGCAAAAACACAAGCAAGACTTGAGAGATCTAGATTCAGAACCTGAGCAAATAACTTATTATGTGAGTTAATTCTGGGCACACTGAAGTTAGAGGGAGGCCTAAGATTTTTCTCTTTGCCACAGTTCTCCATTTATAAAGCTATATTAATATATATAGCTGATTACATATATTGCTTCATTTATAAAGCATACCCTTATATGCTGTAAAGTTTCCTTTCTCTATTTTGTTCCATGGTGGTGTCTAGGTACCATAGTCTTCTGCAGGGTGTCCCTGACCTTGTGTGTGTGTGTCTGTGTGTGCAATGTGTAGCACAATGGTTTCCTTATCCCAGTTAATAACAAATGAAACTAAGACCCAACCCTGCCTTTTAGTTAATTTGAATATTCCTTATAGTTAATGGGTTTCTGATGTTAGCATGGAATGAAAAAATAGTCTGCTGTTCTGTATTATCATAAATCGTAAGTAGGTAAAATTTTAGAGGAGAGAGAATTCAGGGAAGTTTATACTGGTAGAGCTACTATCAATATTAGGTGTCATGCCTGTAATTGGGATATATGCTATAATTACATCCCCATTTGAAAATGGGTTTTGCTTGTGTAGAAGGTGGATAGAAGTGAAAAATAAAATAAAAGTTGCCTGTAACATTTGTTTAACAACATGACATTATTGTCCATAGCTGATCAAATAACCTTTAACAAACACTGAGGGGTGGGATGGTTTTGGATTTTGTTTTTTGTTGCATGAAAGTTTTTCTTACACTTATCTGCTGCTAACAAATATTCAGCATTTTTGGAATTTTTGAAAAAAAGTTGATGGCTTGCAACTCAAAATTGAAATTAGATCTGTGTTGCTTGGTTTAGACTGATTATACAAGTCACATCACCATATTTTCTTGCCTACAGCATAGAATAAAATACTGAATTTGTTTTTGAAAGTCAGAAAGAGGAAAAATGAACTTTCCTTGTAGTAAGTAACTAAGTAGCAGCAGCTAGGAAACCAAGCCTACTCATTATTCTGTTCCCAGTGAGTTGCTTTAGCTTCTAACTGGCAGCTCTTACTGTATTTCTCACGTATAATGTGCAACTGCAATTCCCAGCAGCTGGTTTTTGGGAAAAAAGTGTATGAGTATGAGAGAAAATAGGGTATGTTGTTTCTGTTCTCCATTAGGAGCACCATGATTCTTTATAGTCATGTGCTTACAATTACTTTCCTTTCAGGAAGCAAATATTAAATTGGCTTTCTACAAGCTTCAAATCTATTTTACATAAAGTTCTCATTAGTAAAATGCAATCATAAGAATATTCATGGGTAGTAGAGACAAAAGAAGTGCAACTAAGGTAATGCACATTTCTTTAAAAATTTTGAATGAATTTACTATGGATGGAAATGTCCTCTTGTATGTTGAGAATCATTTGACTTGAGTTTATGAAGGTCCTGGACTTGATTTACTACCTTGTTTCTCCTGCTTCACATAAGTGTAACTCCATTACAATCAAGGTAAGTTATGTCAATATAAAATTGGAGGAATATATTTAGTAAATCAAGCCCTAGGCCCTATTCCATTTCTTTAATTTATTGTTACCTGATTTCTAAATTAGAATGGAGATTTAATCTCTCTTGCCCATCCCCTCCCCCCCCATCCTTCTTTTGACTTGAAACAAGGTAGACTTTTCTAATTTCTGTTATTATTAGTGTTTGACTAAAAATATACTATTATTAAATGAAGTAGCCTCAGTTTACCAAATTCTGTTTAGCCTTGGCTTGGTTATTTTCTAGCAGTGTACTGTCTGGCTCCTTCTCACTGAGATGTAGGGCTCTCCAGTCCTGAAACATAGTCTTGTCCTGGTTCTAGACTAGCCAGATTCAGAAAGCCATCCTGCGTAACTACAGAATGTAGGACTGTGTCCCAGGAATGGATACTTATAATAAGAGGCACTGAATTCTGAGTCAGGATTAAATAAGTGCTGTGACTGGTTTT